ATCGGCCGGAGCAAAATCGCCACGAGTAGAGCGATGACGAAAAAGAAGGGAATGTTTCGAATGCAAAAAGACAGCATTAAGATTCGATAAGATTGAATATTTCTTCGCTTTGGTCACTGCGATTGTCTCTCATTCTCAGCGAAATCTTATCCGAATTCTAGACACGCGATTCGGAGCACGCTTAATCTTCCATTATTCCGGTAATGCAATCGGTGATGCCCTAGAAGAAGGGAATGTTTGGCGTGACATAACGCCCGTCCTTCTCCATGAGGTCGGCCGTCGGCGAACGGCCACGTCGAGGTCGAAGGCGAGAGAGAAGGAAAAATATCATCCGACGCGATATGTTCGTGCCGTGGACGGTATATAGGGTAGCGCGCGCGGAAGGATCTATCTCTCCCAGATAGTCTGGGTGGGTGCTCTTTCCCTGTAGTACGAGGGGTGGGTGGCCTTCGCGCGCTGAAATGGCAAAACACAAGACACGGAGGTGCAGGCGGGGGAGGTGGGGTTGGAGGCCGACGAAGGTGGAGGAAGAGGAGGAGGAGGAGGTGGAGGGTGGCGGCGAGGAGGGAGAGAGAGCTGGCGAGGTAGCGACGTCACCACGGAAATCAAGAGTAATGCCAACACGAAACTGCACTACCCCTCGCGCACCCTTGCCGACCCCTCCTCGCTCCCGTCTTGCTCTCACACCCCCCTCCCCCCTGGCACGCCACCCCGTCCGTTTCTCCCGGTTCTTTCACCGTCCCTCCGTTTCTCTCATCCTCCACCTCCTCCCGCCCCGTCCCCCTTCCCCCTTCCCCCACGAGATCCCGCCCGCCGTCCCACGAGTCTGGTGCGCCTTCTCTCCCGCTTCCACGAGTCACCTCACCGATCTCATCCATCCCCAGAGAATAACCCCCTCGCCGGCGGCTCCCGCGGTGAGCGCCACGCCGCCGGCGAACCTCGGTGAGACGGAAACGATAGCGACTCCCACGAGCACTCGCCGCGACTAAGGGCGCGCTGCTGGATTCTGAGAATTCTCTCTCGCCCTCTGCCGTTTTTCCTTGACTTCTACAGAGGCGAAAATCTTTTTTACGTCCGCTATCGGACAACGTCTTCGAGAAGAAGTACAGTTTCTCTTACAAAAGCACGCTCAGAGAACGTTTAGTTAATTAAAATACAAAATCGTTTCAGAAAAAATTAGTGATAGTATCTTGATTATGCTTCATAAGGCACTGCCGATTTGTGCGATATTAATCGATTTAATTTTGCAATCTATATGAGAATTCAACAACATTTACACACAAAGTTGTTTAAGATATTTGTGAATTTAGTGTACAATTAGATTATAAAAAATTAAAAAATTATTTTGTTTTAATTAACAGTTATTACCTCATCGATATAAATAACTTCTATCTATACAAGAACACCTTTTTAGTTAATTAAAATTTCCATAGATACATCAATATAAATCAATCATTACAAATTATTGATACAAAACAAATTTTGATTTTTCTCACATTAATAATGCACTATATTGTTAAAAAACTTTTGAGCAATCGTATTTATAATAATTTATAAAAAAAAAAATTTGTATTATATTAACATAATTAATTGTATAACAAGAAAGTATTTATACATAACAAATTAACCATTAAGTAATTTAATTTTGCAAAGTTTAAGAAAGATAAAAAAGTTTGGATCCTTTAAGTCTACGGAGATTACAGCGAGTTGAATGCACTATGATTTTAGTACGAAAAACAAAAGTGCGAACTGGTTTTTTCTTCAAATCCCACTCTCGAAAATGTGGCCATTCGTATGATCGGCTATATCCGTGCAGCTCCCCAAGACTGCCGCGAAACGTCTTTTAATATACACTATATCTTCGAGGGGCTATGTGTTTATCCTTGTGGTTTTACACCATACAAAGAAACCGACTTGTATTTTGATACGAGCGACTTTCGTCGAATTTGTTGTGATATTCAGCTTTTCAACTATATATTATTGCATCGTTATATATATCTATCCGCTTGATTATATAAGTTAAAAATAAAACTGTCCAATAATTTTTAAATATTCTTTGATAAAAATATTATGTGCACATATTTATTATACGGTTATAAATTTTTAACATTTAAGAATTATAAATTAATTCAACAATTTTATTTTTAAGTGATGAAATCATGCCAACACAAAAATAAAATCGTTGAATTAATTTATAATTCTTATATTTTAATAATTTATAGTCATATAAATATGTGTACATAATATCTTTACCAAAAAATAATTAAAAATTGTGTTCTAAAATTACACGTATTATCGTACAGGCCTAAAAATTCAAATGTTAGAAAGAACGAGCATTCTAATAAATCATTTTTAATAAGATTATTATAATTATCGCTACTTATGTATACTTAACTCACTTAAAACTTGAAGAAAGATATTTATATAGTCAAACATTTCTATATTTTTTTCAAATTTCCTTTTTTTTTTTGCGCTATAATTTTCCTATTTTACATTTGCCTAACAATGTGGCAATAAATAAATAAATGTAAAATAGCGAAAAAACAGCACAAAAGAGTACCAAAAAAATTAAAAGAAACATATTCAAATTTGACTGTGTAATTGTGCATATGTGTCTTATGAAAAATTATGTATATTTCTAAAAAACAATTAAGAAATAATTGTAGTCACCAACTAGCGTATTGCGACTTGTTCTATTCGCTGCGGTTTCTACTTTGCACCACTTTGGGACAAATTTATCAAGGAATCGATCAAAATTAGAAATTCGCACTTAATCGTGAGCATTACCGAACAAAAATCGATGTGTGATGTATTTTATTCGCGAAAATCACACAAATATTTGCATCATGAATTTGTCATGCCGCAATATACGAAATGCAAATGCGAGATAAAATACATTTTGTGCTACGACGTATCTACGTGCATACTTACGCAGCGCAGAATATTATATTTGAATATTAGCAAATGAAAAATTTGCGGATAATATCAGTGCTTTGAATAATTACGCAAATATAATTAATTCACTCACCGATCGTTGTAGCCTAGCTGAGTGCGCCTGGAGCTGGAAAAGTATCTGGAAAAATTAATATTAAATTAAATATTATATATTATATAATTATCTTCATTTTCATCAAAATATAAATCAAACGCAATATAGTGCAGAATAATTATTCAAAAATTTTATAATAATTATTCATTAAATGTTTTCCCAAATAATTTTATTTAAATTTAAATAAAAATTTTTATACATTTTAATGTTTATAGACTATAAATAATAAATAAATAATTGTATTTACGAGCTGTAAAATATTGCAATTTCCTCCACCAGCTGCATATTCCGCCTAGACTGCTATTTATCAGTTTCATCATTAACTGCATCAGCTCTAAAAATCGCTGAATATCGAACACTCGCACTTACAATTAATTATAGTCACTTCCAAACAAAAGTGAACCCGCACATTTTATTTTCGCGAAAATCACGATTTATATTGCAACTTCATCACACGCCAAAATGGAAACGCGAGATAATATATATTTTCTGTCGAATTACGTTTACGTAGTACGTACAATTAGCATAAAATTTTAACAAACAAATGCCGCAGTTGATTTCGACATTGTACACGTACCTTGAGCAAGCAAGACAAACGACAGACGACTGTTTTAGCAGTTACACAGAAGTTATTAGATACGAATACACAAACAACATAATTACATTTCGTCCAATATAATTCCGAAAAATTCAATTTTAATATGTTACTTCTAATAAGATATATATCGAATAGTGCTACGATTGGGATCATAACCTGTTTTTACTGAATCTATGATCTAACCATCAGACAATCGATGAAACGACTTTAGTAGCAAACATCTGTAGAAAACAATACTTCTAGCAATCGCCCGTCACTTTAATCGGCACTCCCGATAAAAACTCGCACTCGTTTTACGTTTAATATGCATAAAATACGGATTAATTGCAGTACTTGTTTTACATTTGGAACTGCGCCTGGAAAAATATAAAAATTATAACGAATGAACAGTTACATCGGCAGCCAGAAAGGTGGCGCCATGTGGCCGAATACATCTTATCGGTCATCATGGATGCTATTACAGCAGCTGTCGATATAACAATTTTCTTCAAGGTGCGTTAATCTAAAATTTTTACCAAAATATATTATTTGCCGCGGTAACAATTAAAGGTATTTCATTGATTATCTGGCAGATTGCAATACCTATTACAATACTAATTAAAGCGTAATATGATTTTCATTAAATTTAACATGTGGAAAAGAAAACAACTTGCCGAAATTACATCGAATAAAATATTACTTTCATGTACGTATTTATATTTGATAATTTTTACATTAGTACCAAGCAGTCGTTCATCCATCGAGTTTCAACACTGTATGTGTGGCAATATTCTATGCTATAAGTATATGAGAGTTGACACGATGCAGTGTAAAGTGCATTTTATATCACTTTTGCGTTTCATGTATCGTGACAAATTCGCGACGTAAATTGACGTAATTTTTGCACAACTAAAATGTGTAGATTGACTTTACATTCAGTACTGCACTTAGCTAATTGTAAAGACGGATTTCTGATATTCAGCGATTCCTCAAAACTGATGCAGAATCTAAGACAAAGTATGCAGCAAACGATTTATAATATTCTAACTGGTAAGTACAATTATTGTTTTATTATTTAAATATATACTTATAAAACTGATAATGCACATATATACACAATTTGTATTTGTATTTGTATTATTACATACTTCTGTATTATTTAATTATGAAAAATCAAATATAAGTCCTAAAAAAATACAATAAATTTTCATTTTGTATATTTAATTACAAATATGAAAATAATAAAATCGTATTTAATATAAAATTTTTTTATTAACATATAATAATACATACATATACAAACAATACTAACATTATCTAAAATTTTACATACATTTTATAGAATAAAACTTAATTTTTATAACTACATAATTCCTGCAGATAATATATCATAGAAGTAATAATAGTTTTCAATTTAATAACTATCAGGTATTATAGATGTCTAAAATGTCATATCAGATATTATAGATGTCTAAAAATGTCATATTAAAGATATTCTACATAAAAAAAGTAAAATTTTATTATTTTATTTTATTAAACAATTTCCCTTGTTTTACGCAAACGTTTATATAAAGATAAAAATAGTGATGACATAAAATGCTTGATTTAACGAAATCTAATATATTAAAATAAGTTGTTAATTTATGATATCAATCAAATTAATATCATAAATAATCATAACATGTTGTTATGAAACAATGAAAAACTTACGTTTTCTACTTTTATTTTAATTATATCATAATGTTTAAAAATTTTAATAATTGTTAAACGTTACTGCAAATAGGCAGTTTTGGTCATGCAATGTCCTCTACTAACGAAATTCAGAACCATGTACTACGAACGTCGAAAATGTATAAAACTCATTTTGGTCTTACACAGATTCGCGTTTCTACCAATGTTCGGTACATTCCTTTTCATGAGTTATACTCTCATTCGTCCACATATATAACTATTATCACGTATCCATGTTGTAATTTTCGGCTAGCTCTGCCCGAATTAATTGCGCCAATCGTTGCATTGCCTAAAACATTAACAGATATAAATGTTGTATTCATTAATTCATTTTAAAATAATGATTACAATGTTTCGTATCAGCTTTATTCACTGCTGATAGAATAGATGTTCTATGTCGTTAAGATAAAATCAATAAAATAAAACAAATAATATAAGATTAACAAGATTAATAATATAAGATAATAATTTAAATTATTTATCAATCTGATAATCATTGAAGTTTAAAGTGCTTTAAAATTTATAAATAATTGAAAATCAATATTAAATAATCTATGATCACAATAAAACTTTACGCTTAAGTTTAATTTTTGCGATAATATTATTTTGTAGAATATATATAAATAAAGAAAATACCAGATCCATTTCCTTATAGGAAACCTTGGTAAAACTTGCTCTGATTGCATTACAAGGTTTCGAGGAATCTCTCATAAATGCTGCTCCTGGCGTCAAAATGACGCCTGCAGCAACTCCCCGTTGCATTAGCATCTTCCATGTATCCTTGACTTCTCGTACTTTTAACCACAAAAAGAATCCACTTTGTGGTACATTAAAATCTACCAAACCTAAAATAGTTTATAACTTTTTACTTAATTATTTAATTGCAGGCAACTTATCAATTATTTATAAAAAAAATATTATAACATATAAATATTATTATTATATATATATAAACATAAATTTTTATAGTACGTATAGTATTGTACATTTAACTGCAGCAAAAACAAAGTTAAATTACGTACCTTATGCAAGATTATTATATTATTTCGTAATTATGTGTTTTATATCTTATTAATCTTATTAATATATTTTTCTATTATGTATATTGCTCGATTAAATTTTTATCTTTATACATATATTTTACATATAAATTACATGCGTTATATATAAATTAAGACTATTTTTTGTTATAAAATTAAGTATAAAAAAATATCACATATTATTATTACAATAAGTAAACAATTATTACTTACCATCGAGATGCTTGTGTGCCAGCGCCGAGATAGTATCTCTTCGCTGCTTATAGTAATGCCTTAATCTCATATAATGCTCCATCAGACCATTATAACTCCAGATTTTCATCAGCTTATACAACAACACCTAAAGTCAAGTGTAATTGGATACTTTTTTCCATTTTATTCGAGCGATAAGCAATCAATGTTTATGATTGATAAGAACCGACACGCGCCACTATTGATTTGATTTATGGACGAATGATTAAGAGAGTGATATTTCGACGTCTCGCAGCATTTCATCATTCCGGAGAATAATATTTACGGTTATTTATCGCTTTTTTATTACAACAATCTTCGTGTCCTCTCACTTCTACATTCAAACACAAATAATCAAGCATTCATGCAATACAAACGTGTTTTATTTGATCTGCTAATACATGCAATAGTATTAGGAATCTATACATATCTAAAAAAAATTTAGACTGCAAAAGTAATTAAAAAATAATTTTATCTTGAATGACGACAGAATTTTATCATATGAACAACTACATTCACACATTCTGTTTATCGACAAGAGGGAAGCTTGGACCATGAAAAGGTGCATTTCCGCGAAGGGTAAGGACCATTCCACCTACCTGAGATAATGTACAAGCATGAAGATGGCTGCTCTGCAGGTGAAGCTCTATGCTGGCTATCAGCGGAGCCGCAGCGGTTATAAAGCCTATTCTGATGCCACTACTGATCGTTTTCGAAAATGTATCCAACCTAATGACTCGACCCTCTGTATCGAGTGATAAAAATGACTTGGGTTCTTCCTGAAAAAAATTTTTTTATAAAAATGATCACATTTTGCTATTTTTTTGTGATAAGAGTTTCTTTTCTGTCTCTCAACAATATTCATTAGTGATATATGTATATTCAATTGATTTTATTATAAAATCATTGAATTACGTAAATTTAATTTATAATGCAACAATTATAATGCAATAATTATATTGTAAATTCAAGTATATAATATATATTCTATATCAACAAATGTTAATGAAAGATGCGTATCATAAATACATTTGACTGTGTATGATGCCGCGTCCGACGCGGCAACAGATGATAAGTTGGGCAGCCAAGTGTAGGTACCGCGTTGCGCAACTAAGAACTTTGTTATCAATAAATTATAAGGTATAAGTAAAATTTTATTCGTAAAGTATATAAGACGGAACGGCATCGACCTGGCACCTATTCTTTAAATGCATACTTTATATTCGTAAGACATGAGTCTGTCGTAATGTGCTTTATACATAATTTGCAGGGTTAGATATTTAATATTTATAAAATATGAACTGATTGGTATTAGTATGATGACGAATTCATAATGTGTCTACAATAATTTACATAATTCTCTTTTAAAAATAGCACATAATCAAAGTATATTGTTGCTTTTTCGCGATACTTATTAGTCTTTTCATTGCGCTTAGCGAGCGGCTGTCATTGTGAAAATTTTAACAATTCGTATATTAAATAGAAGATTAATAGCGTTTTCTCTTTTCATCTCTTTCACCACAAATGTGGTGGTGTATTACATTTTCAATTTTAATTTTCTGAATACCGAATTAAAAAAAAATATATTAAAAAATATTTAAGGTTTCACGTGTATGAGTAAAATTTGAATTTTATTTGTGCAAAATTATAGATATATAATACGATAAACTTATCTAATTTGCATTGTAATCTAAACTGCAGATATATATTCTTAAAAATATTTTGATGTTGCATTTCATATAATCGTAAATTTTACCACTCTTTTGCGTAGTAAACATTAATAAATACAGATAAATTTATACATTATCTGTAATATATGTATATCCATATGTGATGTGACCAGCTGATTATTACATCAGTTTTGTTACATCACCACGTGATTACATCACGTCATCTATGTCGAATAATATGTTTGAAAGCTTTTTGCGTCATGCGTGACAATAATTATACTTACTTTTTCAAAATGCATAAAATGATAAGGGTCGTCATCGAGTATCAAGAAGTTATATTCGCAGGCTATCCTGTAGATTTCTTTGCGTCTTTCCAAAGGTATAATAATACCGGTAGGATTTGTGCCCGTAGCGTTTATATACATTACTTTCGGCATTTTCGCGTTAGAAAGCATCCGATTTCCAAGAATTTCCCTGAGTATTTCCGGTATAGGACCATTGTCGTCCTGCAGGATCGTTATGAACTCCGCTTGATGTGGTGATACCTGCGTGATTATAATCAACGATCTCTTGATTATCGTAGCAATGTTAAAATAATAAATAAATAGGAGTCTATCATTTTAAAAAAAATGCAATCTGTTGCAGATTTTATATTGCAGTATTATATTTTATATCTTGAAGTATCGAAAATTAACAAGTAATAACAAAAGTTTGTCTTCAAGCAGAAGAGCTATAATCAAATTATATTTGAATATATGAATAATTCATTATTTCATAAACATTAATAGGATTTGCTTCTTCTCAAATTTCTCTCTTTAATAAAAGCTCATATCTATATCTACTAACCACAACTTCGACGCCGGGATAGAAGGAGTCGGGAACCAAAATCGGATCACCAGTGCCGATTATAGCCTCCAGAGTCTTGCTAAGCCCGTCCTGAGACCCTGAAACGACGACTATGTCACGGCTCTCCCATAAGGGTGGCGCGTGTGCCATTCTCTGGAATTCCCTCAGGGCCTAAAACCAATTTGCCATCCGACGTTGTTAGACACATTGTAGCCGATTCCCTTATCACGAAAACGAAAGATTCCGGGTGTAACGATACGGCCCATTACACGCAAGGCGACCTTACTCGACCTCATACGACAATACTGTATCAGCTCCTACATATAGGACGCGTGATGCAACATCCTGTATGTAGGAATTCTATACAATACAATCAGGGAGATAACTTATTTATGCTGATTCTCCGAATTCTGAACTAAATTCTTTTAGTTTTTTTTATATTTACTATTTTGTTACTTTCTTTTCGATTGCTAAAATAAATGATACTATTTGAATGTAAA